GAAGTGTGAACCACTCCTCCGCGGCTCCCACCTGCCCGCCGCTCGGCGCAGCCCGCGCCCTCCCGGGAGCTGTGGAGAAGTTTGGGGCTCAGCTGGGGCTTCCTCTTCCTCTCTCCCCGCCCTCGTGACAGGTGTAAACACCGCCCGCTCGCCTCAGGCCCCAGGCCGACCGCTCCCGGACCGCGCTGCTCGCCAGCGTCTCGGAAGCCAGCGGATTTTGAACCCTCCGACTGACTGACAGGCGAGAGCGCCCCAAGCTCAGGCATCCCTCCCGGAGAGGATCTGTCTGCGCCCTTCTTGCTCTCCGCAAGAAATAATCCGGTCTCCTTCTTAGGTTGTGTTTAGGAAGTTGGGCCGTAACGTGTTCTCCGAGTGTTCACCTTGGCAGCTGCCTCGTCTCGCTTGGGGCACGCAGGGCACAGAGTACGGGGTGAGCGGGCTGACTCCTTTCACCATCGGAGGAGAGTGGGGATGGCCACGTTTGGGGGTTCTTCTTGGCGTACACAAGGTGTTGCTCGGTTTCCCCCTCGATCTTCTGTTTGAGCTGGGGGAAGAAGAGGGACGTGCAAGTGTTAAACCGAGGAGTGGGGCAAAAGGAAGGGGTGGGTGGGTGGCAAGTGAAACCCAACAAAACGTAGCCCCCCTTTTAAAGTGTTTGGTTTCGGAGAAGAAAAGTAGAACTTTACTTTTGAACTTTTCCAGCTGTATTAAGCGGTCCCTTCTACCTGCGTTCTCGGACGACGGAAAAACAAAACAAAACGTTCTTGAAGGTGACATTTAATTGTGGTCGTCAGTTAACCTTGTAGACTTGCTTTAAGGGAAGAACAAATGCCCCAGCACAGTGTTGTTGAAAGAGCCCGGTTTGTCTACATGTGATAAAAGCATGCTCTCCCAACTTTGTTGACTTTTGTCGTTGTCATTTTTAGTTCTTTACAGAAGTATCTTTGTTTAACAAAAGCAGCCTGTTAGTCTTCCACATTTTGCCTATGAAGACACCACTGAATTGTGTAGACAGAGTTTAGAATATTTAAAATGCTGTTGAAAGTAATTTACTAGGAATAATTTAGTATGTGGGACATTTGGGTTTTGATATTTTCTTGTCTTTTGACCTAGAGACTATTCTAAAGAGAATCCTTTATCAATAAGAAGACCATGTGCCCTTAATTTGCATGGATACATTTTACAGAATCCAGTTGTCTTTCTGGGAAAGCCAATATTCTAGGTAATTCCTATTATAAAGCATTGCTTTAAATTTTAATTTGTTCTGCTTCTAGTTAGTTAAAAACTAATTCAGAAAAGTAGTAAGACCGAGTACTAAGTCATCTGTCATATTTCATGAAATAAAAAGTGCTTCCCTTCCCTCAACAGGCCAAAAAGTCTGAATAGCAACATCTCACTGAGGAGAAACACACACACACCCCCACCCCACCCCCACCCCACTTCCCTTCTTCCCACCTCTCAAATCTCATAAAAGCAGGCTACCAAATATTTAGGTAAATTGTTTTAATCAAATGCATACCTTCCAAGTTAAGGATGCCTACAATTATGCATCTTTGAATCAGTTCCTACTCATAGTGACTGTCAGAGTTGAACTTCCCGAAGGCTTCCTAGTGATCTGTACTGGAGCTGCTCGCAGGCCTTTTCTCCCTCCAGTCAGTCAGCCGGCAACCACTGTACTATCAGGGCTCCTCGGCCTACAATTCTTAGTTGTTGCTTTTTTTTCTTTTTAAGGATTCATTTCCCCACCCCCCACCCCTGCATGATTAGCACTTCTAATTCCTCTTTAAGTAGCCTTTCCAGCTTGAATGTCATACGTATTTCTAATGTTTGGTCAATTTTGAAAACATCTGACATGATTCAGAATCTACATAAGCCATTTTGGTGATCAACCTCTACATATACACACATGCACCACTACTTTTTGCAACTTTCTAAGATAATTGTTAACAATGATGTACACTATTTTATATGAGCAAAATATCTTTTAAAGTGTTTTTATGTATTTTTTAACTCTTATAACTCACTGCCATCGAGCTGATTCTGACTCTCAGACCTCATAGCAACCCTCTAAGAGTAAGTAGTGATATCTGTCTTTCAGAGAGGAAACTGGCACAGAGATGTTAAATAACTTGCCCAAGGTCAAGCAGCTGGTAAATGACAGAGCCAGGATATAATATGCTACTAGTGTATGTAAAGTTTTAAAACATGCAAATCCATGTTTCCTATAAATCCTAGTATGTGTAGTAAAAGTATAAAAATGTGCAGGAAATAAACTCCCAGTCCGAATTGAGGTTAACCTTTGGAGAACTGGAGGAGGAAAGGGATATAGGAAGGACCCATAGGTTTTCAACTTTTCTGTTTTTAAATCAGAATCAGATTTGGCAAAAGGCTAAGTAAGATATAACAGCTGCTACATTTTACCCCTGGATATTGTTGTCTGGTTGAGGTCCTTCATGATCAAAGGGTCAGATATTTAACTTTTAAACAGTTACATTAAAAATTGTCAGCTTTGCATATCTTTTAAAAGGACAGGGAAAGACTACATTTTAATTTGTGTTGATTTGCTTTTAAAATAAAAGGAGCCTCACACTTAAAAATATCTGAGCTAAGAACCACCTTCTCCAGGTTCCCTTTTCAGTAACTTCCCCTTTTCTAGGCTAGGGCAGGACTCCTTAAAAAAAAAAACACCACCAACAATCCCATTCCCATCTGGTCTTTTTCCAATCACAGCGACCCTATAGCACAGAGTAGAACAGCCTCATTGAGCTTCCAAGGCTACACTATCACATTGGTCTTTCACAGAGCAGCTGGTGGGTTAGAACCCCTCACCTTTTAATTAGCAACCAAGCCTTTAACCACTAAGCCATCAGGGCTTCTCAAAAAAACAAAACAAAAACACCTCACTGCCATTGAGTCTATTCTCAGCTTATAGCAGTGACTCATAAAAACCAAATCCAAAAGTGTATGTGTGTATATGTATATAAAACAGCAAACCCAAACCAACTGCCGTTAAGTTGATTCCAACTCATAATGACCCTTCATAGGGTTTCTGAGACTATACATCTTTATTGGAGCAGACAGCCTTATGTTTCACCTGCAGGACCCGCTGGTGGGTTTGAACTACTGACCCTGCAGTTAGCAGCCCAACCTCTAACCCAACGCCCCAAAGGTCTGTAGGTTATATCTGCTCCATGGGATATGGAGAAGGTCAGTAACCCTATTGGGTAGAGAGGAAAAAGGAAGTGGGATGAAACCATTGCTCATTGGCTTGGGAGAATTGAAAAGAGAAGTAAAATGGGAGATTTAGACTCCCATCTTGTTTCTGTCATTACCACCTCTATTCCAAAATGACTACAAAGGTAAACCTTGCAGGGATAAATTGCTAATAAATTAAAGGTTGCCTGCATGCCTCAAATCTTAATTTGCAAGCATTATATTAGTGAATAGGTGTGGGGTTGGTTTTCCCCACAGATCTGTCCTAGGGGAAATGAAGTCATAAAGTAGAATAAATTCACTCTAAGTTCATTTATACAGACATTTATATTATATATTATGGTATTCTCTTCCATTCTTTTAATACAACACATGTTTTTGGAATACCTGTTATACTCCAGGACTGGTTCTGGGTGCTAGCAATATTGAAATGAACATATTAGAAAGTGAAAAATCTGCTCTCAGAAAGCTTTGATTCTTGTCTACACAGGCACACTCACGAAGACACACAATGAAGTAAATCCAAGAAACGGCATATGATATCTATAGAGAAGAATAGAGTTGGTGTGCTGGGCAGGGAAAGAGATGGAGGAAATGTGACTTTAGGGTGGGGTAGAACTTGCTGTTTTATAGAGTGTGAGGTCAGAGAAGGGTTAAGCCCTGAAGGAAGAGCCAAGACTAGGGAAGAGTGGTAGGCCGGAGCTTTTGGAGTAGTCAAGGGAAATCCAGGGTAGCAAGGAGGCCACAAGTGAAGAGGAACAGTCGTGAGTTCTGAGTTAGAGGGTGGAAGGCAATGTTGTAGGATTGCTGTAAGAATTCTAATAACTGGCTTTTTATTGTGAGATGGAAGACATTGCTGAGTAGCCATTGCTGCATGGAGGTGTGACATGATCTGTGCTTTTAACACGATCTATCTGCCTGCTGCACAGAAAATAGATTAAGAGTGCAGTTGTAGGAGCAAGAAGATTCAGTTAGGAGGTCGTGATGGAGGTAACAGATGGCAATGACCTGAATCAAGATGGTAGCAGTAGAGGTGGTGAGAAGTGGTGGGTCAGTTCTTTGAGTTGACACCTGATAATCCTCCATTGCTAAACTCAGAATGTTTGCAGAGGAAAACTCCCCTGAAAAGGTAAAAATGCCTAACAACCTGTATTTCCAACTTACTGTCCTTCGTAAGTCAAAAAGTGTTACTGTAAAGTCATAGAAACCTTGATAAACTAAAATATCAAAATAGGAAGCTTTCACTTCTCGACCTGTCCTACATCTAGGGCTGTACACTTCTCTAAAGGCAGTGTTTGCATCTCTGGTGCATCCCTGAAGAATTCTGCACTGTTCAATTTGTACCACCTCAACAGGCCAGTTTGGGCATCCTTGGGGCACTGCCATTGAGTTAACTATGACTCAAAACTGTGTAGAATTTCCAAAACTGTAAATTTTAATCGTAGCATACAATCTCATCTTTCTC